AATGGCTGCTCCATTGCTGGCAGAATCCTTGGGTAAGCTGGTAATGATTGTAATGTTATTTAGAGATGTAGGAAGTGATTTTGATTTTGTGATTTTTGTCTCTGAGCAGCAAAGGATGTATCTATCACTTGTAATAGACTTGGTAAGTTCTGATACTTTTATACTGTCGTTGAGGCCTCTAACATTGAGGGTAGATAACGTAATGAGATTTTTAAGGGGTGTTGTAATAGAGTTTGTTTGAGAATGGGTTGATATAATAGGTATAGAAGATAAGGGAGTGATAGTTGATATGCTAGTTAACAACGAATGACTTGGATTAATCGTTGTATGCATTATTTATATAAGTTTTGATAAGAGAGTCAGAGCTGGGTCAGGTGACTTGGGTTCAATTAGAAATTCTGCTGGTAGTTTCTCGAAGTGGAATATTTTTCTAAGGACATTAAGTTTGTTTATGAGTAATTTATCTTCAATTATTGGGAGGGTTATTGTACTGCTTTCAGATCTGAGAATGGTTTGGGTTTCCTTGAGATTGGGAAGGTCTGGTAGGATTGATATTATCCATTCTTTTGGGATACGACCAAAGTATTTCTCTTTAATTGTTTTGACAGTTACAATAAATTCAGGGTGTTCTCTATTCAACTTGTTACTGGTTATTTCGAGCTCTTCTTCTACTTGAGAAAAGTTACTTGGGATGTGAGGCTTTTCACTCTGTATTAAACCTTCCTTGATTCACTCAGGTCCAATGGGAAGTTTGAAAAAGAATTCAGTTTTTAATTGCCTAATAAAACCTTTGACCTCATCTTGATTGTTAATTGGGAGGATAATTCTGTAATTCTCACTGTACCAGTATACTGATAGGAGAGGTCTTTTGGTCATAATGTAGTCTGCTAGTAGTTTTTTTAAAGCATAAGATTCATTTCTCAAAATTTGCACAGCTTCTTTGATGTCAGCAACATTGTTGCTTACTGGGAAGTAACCAATCAGGTTTTTGGAAGGTCTTTATATAATGGAGGGAGGGGTTTCTTTGAAGGTAAAAGACAGAAGTATAATTCGGGAAGCTTATTTGGCATGTAATAATGCTCTTTCAATTTATCGACTAGTGTTCAAAGGTCTCTAAGATCTGCTCTCTTTGTCAGAGGGAAAATGCCTTGTACTTCAACTCTCAAATAAGATGAGTTTTCTGGAATATTGGGCCTTTTAACAAAATATGAAAGGAAAAGCAAGTCAAAATTGTAGTATGCTCTAAGGCACTGTACAATTTCTCATGTATGTTTGGGCGAAGTAATGGGGATGGCTTTAGGAAGCTTGATTTTGATAGAGGCAGGGATTAAATCGGGTGAGGCTGGGAGATCAGATAGTTTTATCTTGATAAGTTCTTCGTATTTATTATAAAGGTCCTGATAATTTATTTTTGGGAGGGAAGGATCAAAAAAGAAATT